ACCCAATGATTAGAAAACGATAATTCTCCGATTACAAAACGGATTAGTCAAAACAAAACCACCCCATCGGTATTACCACCACTACCATCCCTTACTGGACTGCTAAGGTTGGTCATCCCCAACCCAAGATATCCTATGAGCTTACAAGCTACGGACAAGAACTACTGATGTGCCCCAACCGGCCACACCTAGAACAACTACAAACTTCCCCAACTGGGGCTTGGGAACTCGACTCTACTGAGGCCCTCACAATCTGGCCTGCTAGTCCCCCAAACCGATGCTGTTCCTGCCCAGTCGAATGAAACTGGGCCTGGCTAGGTTGCAAAACCCCTAAAGAAGCTCCCGGCTGAGTATAGAAACGTCGAATATGACCCGGCTGATTACACCCCCAACAAGTAGGCGGTGCCTGAGCACGAGACTGGTTCAGAATCTGGGCTGATGAAGACCCCAACAACTGCCTCCCCACTGAGCATTTGATTGGCCCAAAACCCGGCTGGTTAGATGATCCTGGAGGTACAACTACTGGTTGAACTGCTAACCCTGCCCCCTTCCTCTGTGGGCAACTCGAAACCTTGTGGCCCAGTAGACCGCATTTGAAACAAATGACACCTCTCTGTTTACGTTCTCCCGAACCCAAATCCGACACTGGAAGGGTAGTTCTAGTCCGACCTCCCTGTTGCGGGTTTAAGCCCCTCTACCTCTTGAAAGGCCTACCAACACCCTGAGTCACGAGAGTTGCCGAGATGGCTCCCTCCCCACTCTGCCCCATTGCTAGCACCGCAACCTCTACATGGGCAGCTGCCTCAACAAGCACACTATATCTTTTATGCCAAGACCCCGCTATCCTTACACGGATGTCGTCACGCAGCTTACTCTCAAACTCGAAACAACACAAGTCCTCCGTCTCCACCAATTCTAGAGCAAACCTCGATAGGTTAGCAAACCATCTTTCAAACCGCACCAAAGGTGTAGTACCTTGGCGTAACCCCACAAACTGTTTCCGCAACTCTTCCAGAGCGGAATGAGGGAAATCGCAACTTTCTCGCCTAGGCATTCTAGAAAAAGTAATAGAGACACGTTAGCACACTCATACATGTGCCGAAGCTAAACACTCACGTCCTAATACATGGACAACTGTAATTCACTCCATGTAAGCACATAAACACATAAGCATTTACGAATTTCATTTCTGGATAATGATAGTCCCGAGGCGTTACTAGAGTTCCGGTCAGAAACAACATTGATCAAGTGCCTTTCCAACAGGACTCCCAGAAACCCAAGGATCCAATCAACATCCAAGAAACTACATTACATACCCAAATAATCACATAAACATGTTATCACATAAGTACATAACATTACGTCTAAGTCTCTAACAAGCGAGACAAACCCATTGTGATACTAATCACTTCCTACGTACCCAAAGTATTCGAACCCGGTATGCTCTGATACCAAGTTGTGACGCCCTCAAAATAATAACATTAAACCCATCCATATAGAGACATGCATTGATACATAAAAGTCCACATTCATCTATTCATCAGAGTATTTCATTACAAAAGTATTACATGTTTATAACAAAAGCAAATGCCCTACGGGCTTATAGCTTTCCAAGTTAACACTTGGTTACAAAAGAGAGTGCTAACTTAATTACACATTAAGTCCTGGCTTAAATCTATATGTAATACAATCAAGAAAAATAAGGCAACAAAAGTATGTCTGCCTCTAGCCTCCCAAGCTATGTCCTCAGAGGTGGCATGCTACCTGTACCCTGAAAATGATGTTCCCATATAGGGTGAGCCACAGCCCAGTAGAAATATACTAAACCGAATATGAACAAAGCCTAAAAGATTAGCAACTGATAGATGGTCAATACTTACACTTCCATGACAGTCAAGTCTATGTTACAATTCACTTTCCATTTCTCATTCAACTTTGAGTTTGAAAATAAGGCCCAGTACTCTGGCCAAAACATTTGATGAGATTATAGTTCATCACTAGAACACTTTCGAAATTCAAGGCGGATACACATTTTGGTGTTATATCAATAACACATAAACTACTTCTATACTTCCCAAACGATGATGATATACATTTTAGTGCTATATCAAATCAAACAAACTTTTCAATAGATAAGCATATGAGCTATATCACTACTACAACAGATAAGCATATGAACTATATCAAAACTTCAACAGATAAGCATATGAGTTGTATCAACACTTCAATAGGAGAGCATATGAGCTGCATCCCTGGGTCCATCCCATATCTTCCCTTAACCATTAACCGGCTTAGAGGTACATCCCCCATCTTCCCCTAAACCGTGGAGTACATCCCCCATCTCCTCTCATACACAAGCAATGCATATAAACACAGAATCATATACATAATCAATCAATACATAAAGTTAATGTATTCTATCAACCGTCATACTCTATGACATATCTGATTGATTAGTTTTAGTTTTCCTAATCATCATGCATTGTCTACAACAATCAATACTATCCTCTACCGGTAACCCAGAGCAATTATTTCTAAACAGGAAATAAATGCACAAATGGATAGTATATCAACATTTCAATTAGGTCAGCAATAAGTGATTTAACTACACCCTTTAGTCCTATACATTCCCAATTTCAACATTTCTAATTCAATTTCTCATTTCCTTTAATCAATTATATACATTAATTAATTAAAACAATTAGGGCAAATTACCTTAATTAACAAAACAACTCTAAGGTTCCACTTTCATCCACAATCCATCATCCAACTCATTTCCCTTTTTAACCAAACTTGCATATAGGTTTATTCCAAACAAAACCCTAATTTTTTTGTAAAATTACACAAAAGGCCCAAACTTTCTCAAATCTACCCAACAACACCCAACATATCAAAATGCTAAAATCTAAAGACAAAATTCATAAGGAGGAGTAGGATATCCCTACCTCAAAAGATGATACTCAATGGAGAAGACGAAGAAACTCAACGTGCTTCAAAACTCAATATTTTCGGATCAAAAGATAGCCCTCGACGATCAACACAACTTTAACAAAGGCCGAAGAGAAGGAGGACACTCTAACTAGATCAAACCCTAGAGAGAAGGAAGTTTCTAGAGAGAGAGGCTCTCAAAAATGGGTTTTAGAAAAAGTAGGAGAGAGAAAGAAAAGTGAAAAGTGATTTAAAATCACCCAGCGGATAACTCATATACGCATGACCCGCTCGAGTGGAGAATAGAACGCTCGAGCGTTAAGCACAAATATCTGGTACCGCTCGAGCGTAAGGATGACCGCTCGAGCGCCAAGAAACAAAAGCAAAACACATTCGCTCAAGCGTGAAGAACCAGTCCGCTCGAGCACAGATTTTCATCTCCCAGAACTTTTCAAAAAAAGAACTACCCGCTCGAGCGCCAACAATCCCGCTCAAGCGCGACTCGCTCGAGCGCAAGGAAACCCACTCGAGCGTAGAAAACACACCTGCAGAAGTTCTGCAGGGCCACGAAATACTGGAAGTGTGTAAACCCCGCTCGAGCGTAATAAGACCCGCTCGAGCGGACAACCAAAAACCAAACTCCACTCGAGCGCCGAATGATCAGCTCGAGCGTAACACCAAAATCCAAGGCAACAACACTAGAGACCAAAACTCAATCCACCTGTTCGGAACATGCCGAACACATCCTAAAACTCAAACACTAAGAGTAAAGGATAGAAACGAGAATAAGACGACAACACAACCACAGAACCGAGTCCGGATTACAGTTAAACAACCAAGGGAAAAAATCGAGATCGCTATATATCAGATTGATGAGAGTGTAAACACCAGGATGGAAAACAAACTTCCCACACTCGAGTCTTATCAATTGACAGTGCATGGTGCACAATATCATGAGCTACACCATTACAAATACGAGGAACAAAACGAAAACAGATTGAATGGAAAGAAAGACTTAATGTTCGACAGTCTTGCACAATCACAACAATGTCTTGAGGAGGGTGTATTTCACCATTAAGGCTCTGATATACTGTCTTAGCATCACCTTCAACAATTATATGGCGATGTTGACCAAACAATACCTGCTGTAAGGCTTCTCAAACTGCCAGAGCTTCAAGCACTCTAGGGGAAGGACAAGTAGATAAAGGGATAGATTTGATGAACAAAATGGCACCCATCGAAGTTCGTCTCACAATGCCAATTCCAGCCTGAAAATCCCTTTCTCTTGTACTTGCATCTACATTCAGTTTGATATAACCAGAAGGAAGACACACCCAACGGTTAATAGGAGGAATGTCATGGGACAGTGCGGTGCTAGAAACACTCGGCAAGGATGATGTTTACTCACGAGAGTCCAAATCCAAGACATCAGAAAATTCAATCCATTCCGCCACAGCCAAGCTGGACATGAATGGTGGCATTTGGCGAATTTGGGAGAAAACCCAAGCATTCCGAGACTTCCAAAGGGCCCAACAAATATAACAGGCCAAATGAAGAATCTTATCCCCTTGCTCCGCACTAGCTAGATGATGTTCAAGATAGTGCCACCACTCGGAGAAACAATCCAACGTAATATGTGAAGGCCATTCCAATCGAAGCGGAGAGCATTTCCAAACAAGTTGTGAACCAGGACATCGAAGCAGAAGATGATCCAACGTTTCCAATTCAACACCACAACAAGGACACCATGGTGCTATTAAAGTACAACAATAATAGAGACCACTAATTTTGGAGTTCTAAAAAGACCACTAATGACATAACACTCAATAAAAAAAAAAATACAACACTAAAGTCAAAACATCAAACTATTCATGATAAAACCTACTACCACATCATTAATCGTAACACTAATTAGTACTCTCACTCATTTTCAATTAAAGCATCACTTTTATGGCCCTCAACTATTTTTCCTGCACCAAAACCGCGCCCCTATAGCTACACACGTGGCGTAAAATCATTGGTGTTAGCGAAAGTCTAATTGACTGACCTGTCGAACATTGGCATATTTTTTTATTTATTTTCCTGGTCTTTGATGCGACTCTTCTCTCCCTCACATCGAATCATCGAAGAACTCTCTCAACTGAACAAAAAATCTCTCTTCTCTCTCTCTCTCTCTCTCTCTCTCCACCAATTGTCGCTGACTTTGATAAGTTGGAACTTCTGAAGGTAAATTCGCTTACTCAAAGTTAGGGTTTATCTGAAGTTGCTATGATTCTCTGGTTTTGTTTAACGCTTTGCTTGGCTGCTGCGAAAATCAAAAGAAAATAGTAAAGAAAAAGAGAATATAAATAAAGGAAATACTCGAATTAGTTGTTTGATTCTCCTAATTGTGTGGTGGCTTCTGTTTTCTGCAATTTAATTCTTTTACTCTAAACTCAATACCCAAAAAAAAAAAAAAAAAGAAGGAAATATCAGTATATGATTCTTAGAGAATTCTTTGATCTTGCGAGTGTGTCAACTGAGGAAATTAAGAGCATGTGATTATTTAGAGTGTTCTCTAAATGTTTCTGTATTCACCCTCTGTTTAGTTGATTGGAAAAAAATAAATAACAGGGAGCAAATAATTGATTTATCTTAATTACACCAAGAGCCCTTTAACTATTAGTGAATACCACTTTGCGTCCTCATATGTGTACAGTACATATTGACCCCTTAACTATAAAACCGTATTAACACCCTTTTTGAAGGTGGTTTGGAGGGGTGAGGTGATGCAGTTAATAGTGTGTACAGATTCATAGACAAAAGATAAGTTGATATTTACTAATAGTTGAGGGACCTTAGTGTAATTAACCCAAATTGATTTTTCATTGGTTTTATTTTAGGACAATAATCGTACTTAGCCAAGCAAAAAATGTGTATTAGTTTGAACTAATAGAGTTGTCTGTCCCTTATTTTACCAAATTAAATTTAATAATAATATTCAACATTTGAGCCTAGGAAAATATGTGTATTATTTTTAACTAATATGTGTTGTCTGTCCCCTTAATAGTTATATTTAATATAAAAAAAGGTGAGACAAGATAAAAAATTGTCTTAGCAAACAGCTAGAGCCTAGGAGGAAGTGAGTTGTTGATGTCGTGGCATTATTTAATTAAATTTATAAAATTAATAAGGGGTCTTGTTAGCGAGTGCCCTAAGGGCATTTGTTAACAAAGGTTTAAATAGTTGTACTTTCTTTACATCATGCACTTTCATAAAGAATGTACAACTATGTCAATCTTGTTAATTACTGCCCCGCTAACAAAATCCATTAATAAAGCTAATTAGTTATCAATCTTCCTGGGCATAGGTTTATGCATCCATTGAAGAACAGGTTACAGGTCTACTTGATCAATTTTTTGGGTTAATCTTGATCTTTGGTGACAGTTCAATGCCTTCGGCCGTCTCACCTCAGTGGCAAGACAAAGCTAGTGGTTTTTTTTCATCTTCAGGTAATATGAGTTATTCACTAAAACATTTTTTCTTTTCTAACCTTTTTATGCTAATTTTAACTTTTTTGATGCAGGGGTGAAGCTTAAAGAAGCTGGTCAGTCTGCAGGGACATTCGTTGGGGAGGTTGCAAAGGATGCAAAAGGAAATGTTGCTGGTGTGGCAGGAAAAGTTGGGTCAATGGTCAAAAGTCGATGGTCTCTCCTTCAGCAGCCGTCTACAAAACATGCCATGCAGGAGCGTCTTATTTCTGCAGCCGCTTCTACTGGCATGTTGTTCAGGAAGGGTTATTCAGGAACAAAGGATAAGGTTGTTGTTGGAAAGACGAAAGTTGAAGAGGTAATCCAGACAATGAAGTTAAATTTTGGAATTTGTTAGATATTATTCATGTTCAATAAAAGCTGAATTGGACAGATATTTCTGTTACCTAAATTTATTAATGCCAAGCAATAGATTCAAAACATTCATTTTTCATATCAAAGCAGTTGTATAAAACAATAGGAAGAAGGTCTGAATGAACATAGTCCTCCTCCTCCCTTCTCTTCTATTTTTAACTGATAATACACCCAATTGGCTGACATAAGAGGTTCTATTAAATGGATTTGCGTGTGAGCCTTCTTAAATTTGGGATTTGCCAAATATACTGTTGTCCCTTTTTTTATTTTCAAGTGGGCTGCATTAATGAGACAATGTTTTCCATGATCTATTTTCATTTAGATATTTTTTACATTTCCCTTAGACAAATAACACAATTACATTTAACATTTTTGCTAGCAAAACTAAGTGACAGCTCACTCGAGTTGAGATAGGCAAGCAGCCCAATGTATACATGAATCGATTCATTCCAGTCTAAACAAGAAAAGGGAATGCATTTGAATTGTTTTAGGAAATACTGTGTGTGTGTGTGTCCCCTTCCTAGATGCATACTATGTAGATAGAGTAGGAATGTGGTTTCTTTTGACTTGCTTGCTTTTTTTCTTTTTTTTTTAAAATTTAAATTATTATTATTATTTTTTAAACTTAAAAGTTTTAGAATTCCCCCTGGAACCCATAATTGTACTCACAACTGCTGGGAAAAGTACATTAGGTGGGCCAAATTTTATTGCACTTCTGGATTTAAATGTACTCCGTTTGATTAAGGCTTTTGGTAGTGCTACTCTCAAACAACAGCATGAAATACATAGTATAATATATTTTATGTAGACACATATATTAAATTGCACAAATACATACACAGTTTGGTTATATATTAATGAAAAACTAGATTTGTAACTTAACATAATGACCAACATTTTTGAGTTGGTAATTTTGGTTCAGGTAGCAAAGAAAACTGCACAGAAAAGTAAGACTCTTTTAACTGATATTGAGCGATGGCAGAAGGTATGTGCTTCCTCTCTTCTCTCTCTCTCTCTCTGGATGCAGTTGCAAGTTTAAGAATTCTTATATTTTGCCTTTCTGATTTTGCAGGGAGTTGCAAGCACTGATGGTAAGTTTGTCATAATTTGACAATTGACAATTTTATTGTTTGTTGTTGAGGTTTCTATGCGGCACCTTTCTCTTCCTGTGATTGTCAAATCCTTACTTAATAAATAAGAAAAAGAAGGTCAAATTGCTTAACATTTTATGCTTGCTTATTTTCATCATCCTTCAAGCATTTTTGTCCTTTTGTTAGTCTTTTGTGTTGGAAGAAGGCTCACTTCTCACTTCTGTTTGTGGTTATAGGATAATATAGATGGGTGGCCATTTTTTTACTTCAAAAAAAATTAATATGTTCCTTGTCAGCATCTTGGAATCTGATTTCAATATGATATGTTTTTGTCTTACCAATATTTTACTACTCAATTGGCATATTAACCTAGTTTGATATTTGTCTCTGCTCCTATAGAATTTGCATGGAAGGAATAAACCTTTTGGTTTCCTGTGCTACACTGATGATATCATCAAGGAATTATAATATAGTTATTTGTGCTAGTTAGATAACAATGTATCTGACCTAAGTCTTTATTTATTTGGCCAAAATTCATGTTACTTAGCAGGAATACTAAATACAGCTTGATATGCATCAAAGGCACAAGGGCATGTCAAGTAAGCCTGGTGCTTTTATATTTAATGATTCTTCTAATTTCCTGGTAACTGTCTGGAAAAAGTTGAGAAAAGGAAAAACAAAAGTGACGTGCAAAATGGTTGAGTGGATTTTTTACTCTTAAAAAAGAAAAATGGAAAAATTGACTGGCACCAGGATTATTTATTTATTTATTATTTTTTTATTTTTAATAATGAACTTTCAAACCTTGTCTTACATCATATTATTAGAGAGAAGAGGACCAGGGGAGTTTGTCAGAGGATCAGGGGAGTTTGTCATGAAAAAGTTCATAGTTTATTACCTGTGGAGTTCAGAACTTTCATGTTTGGGTGGAGTGGTGTCAGGGTTTAAACTTTTGTCATAACATGTGTTCAATTATGTGTTTCTACTTCCATTTTTATGTTGCAGTACAAATTCTTACTATAAGACTAATTTTAGAACTGAAACCATCAAACCTTTTGAAACAAAATAAAGTAGCAGCATTCAATAAATGTACCAGTCCAATAGGCTTTGAAGGTTATCTGATCATAAGCCATGTCTCTAGTGTGTGTCATGTTTTATAACATTTCATTGTGAGTCCTGGACCAGTAGTTACATCCAGACTGAATGATCCTTAGAACTCATTTTGGCAGTTCTCTGCTAGGGTTGATTATTGTTTTGTTGGTTAGGAAATGATTCAAGTGCCTTGTGTGTTTTTATAGTTTGCATATTTCAGCTCTTCTGAATTGCTAGCAATCATGTGCTTTTTAATGAAAACAAAATAATTTTAAAATATCACACGTCATGTGGTTTCGTTATAGGGATTAGATGACCTGCTCTACCACACTGTGTTACAAGGTTGTGATATTGATCTTACATTTGTCGAAGTAATGTATTTCTGTTGTCAAATGATTCGTTGAAATGGATATTCCTACTTTGGCAAGGTTAATTTATCCTTTGTAAGAAATAAATTGATAGATAGAGAATAAATTGTATGTATTATTGATGGATTTGTTGATCTGTTATATTACAATGATTCATGATTCCTATATATAGAAGAGGGTGAGTGTGTAGTAGGTAAGGAGTAGGTGAAGTGGAGGTGGTAGTGGTGTAGTGGGTTAGGTTTAGTGGAGTAGGTGAGATGGTAGTGGTGTAGTGGGTTAGGTTTAGTGGAGTAGGTGAGATGGTAGTGGTGTAGTGGGTTAGGTTTAGTGGAGTAGGTGAGATGGTAGTGGTGTAGAATCAAATGAATTTTACTGTTACAAACATGAACAAGCCTTGGTTAACAACAAATCGAGGATTTCCTGACTTTATTACGGGAATCCAAGGTGTTAAAATTGATGTATTATTGATTGATTGATTATGTTTACAATGAGTCCTATATATAGAAGAGTAGAGTAGGTAGGTGTGTAGTAGGTGGAGTAGGTGGTAGTAGGTAGGTAGGTGTGTAGTAGGTGGAGTAGGTGGTAGTAGGTGGTAGTGGTAGGTTTTAACAGCCCCCCGCAAACTCAAGGAGGAGAGACACAAATCAACTTAAGTTTGAAAAGAGTAACAAAATAAGAAAATAGACGAATACATAAAATAAAAGAGGATAGGAGACACTGTATAGTCGTGTCAGACCGTTGGTGAAGACACTGTATGGTTGTGGCAGACCGTTGTAGGAGCTAACCGGAATCAATGTCGGGACAGTTTATGGGGTCATGCCGGACCGCTGTAGAAGCTAACCGGAATCAATGTCGGGACAGTTTATGGGGTCATGCCGGACCGTTGGAAAAGCTAACCGGAATCAATGTCGGGACAGTTTAGGGGGTCATGTCGGACCGTTGGAAAAGTCGCACCCTCAAAAGATGTACCCAATCTTTCAAAAGGCGTGCCCAATCCATAAAAAGGTGTGCCGGACATTATGGCGATGCGCGTGACTACCTTGGCTTGCGCGCCCATGTTGTCGTCTAGTGCCGAGCGGCGCACGATGCGCGTGTCTGCCTTGGCTATTTAACCAAGACGGAGGCTGAGGCTGAGGCTGAGGCTGAGACAAAAACCTGCTAAAAACCTCTGAAAAACTCTTCGTTTTCTGAGAGAGATACTCTGTAACACTCTGTTGCCCAGAAAACGGCCTCTTCTTCCCGTGGTCTGCTCACTCTCTTTCCAGACCTCAACGAGTCTACAAGAGAGATAACTGGTGCGGTTGCCCTTGAACCTCAACCAAGTGCCCCTGAGTTTGCTCCGTTGACTTTTTCGATGCGGTTCGTGGAGCAAAGAATGGCAGCGCAATCAGATATTAAGGCCAATCAGTATACATTGAAGTCATGTGTGGAGACGATGACTGCAGTCACAAACTTGTCGCACCGGCTTCAGAGTAGGACAAATGAGGTGCAGCAGTTAAACGCCCAACTGGCTCTGCTCCAGCGCATGTATAAGGATGCGCGAGCAGAGATAAGCGTGCTAAGGGCAGAAAACAAGGAGCTGAAGCGGAAGGCCACCGTGATGTTCCGATTTGGAGGTCCGCCATATGCGGCAGTGGAGGAATATGGGGGACTGAACGTGCTCGGTGGACAAGGAAACACGGAAGCAACACCGTCAAGGACCGCCCAGGACGGAGGCAAAAAGAAGAGACCGGCGGCAGAGTAGGGCGGTGGGTGGCCGTCTGCAGAAAAGAAAACAAATCTTTGGGTGTTGTGTTTTGTTGTTTTGTTTTTTTTTTTTTGTTTTTTTTTTTTTTTTTTTTTTTTTTTTGTTTTTGTTTTTTTTTGTTTTTTTGTTTTTTTTTTTTTTTTTTTTTTGTGAAAAGTAAGGGAAGCGAATAAAAAAAAAAAATAAAAAAATAATGATGAATAAAAAAAATAATAAAGGAGGGAGTGGGGAACAGGGCGAATCGAGAGCACCAATTAAGCTTTATAATAATGAAAATAAAAGTTGGGCGGTGGATCGGTGTGATTAAAAAAGAAAAGGAAGGAGGATGAGAATAAAAAAAATATATATATATATAGATGTAGGAAAAGGAAAATAAAAAAAGAAAGAAAAAGAAAAATAATGTGTCAAAGTGAGTGGAGACAGATTGCTTAAGATATTATCCAGAAAAGTGATAGGAGATAGGAGGAGAGAGAGTGGGAACAAGCCCTAGAACACCCCCACTATTGCAGAAGAGTTGAATAGCTCAAATTCAAGAATGCCAGACTCGCACAAGCTGGGTAAAGAACAGGAAGATAAAGGGCCGTAGCTTCCCATAAACCTGATAGGGTGTGCAGATTTTTTGCAGTGGCTGAATGCACTTTCAAGCGCTACATACTGGCGCTGTGCAAGTTCTTGTTGAAAGTTTCCAGTACCAAGCTCCATCAACTGAGGAGCCCGTGCAAGTAGCCTCTGTAATTGTTTCAAGTTGACATTCTTATTGACCTTCAAAACACTTAATGACTTGCACCTAGTAACAAGTCTCTCAAGGGCATCAAAACTGACATCACTGTGCAGGCTGGAGAAGTTCAGTACTTCTAATAGGTGAAAGGAGAGAGATCTGCCATGGAAGAAGCTATATGTATTGATAGAGATGACAGCAGAATAGGTTGAGGTCCGGCGGGCGGCTAAGGTGAGGTTGCCGCCCGCCGGTGAAGCGAAAATACTAGGTTCTAAACCCGCTCTGATACCATGTAAGAAATAAATTGATAGATAGAGAATAAATTGTATGTATTATTGATTGATTTGTTGATCTGTTATATTACAATGATTCATGATTCCTATATATAGAAGAAGGTGAGTGTGTAGTAGGTAAGGAGTAGGTGAAGTGGAGGTGGTAGTGGTGTAGTGGGTTAGGTTTAGTGGAGTAGGTGAGGTGGTAGTGGTGTAGTGGGTTAGGTTTAGTGGAGTAGGTTTAAGTGGGTGAAGTAGATGGAGAGTAGGTGGATTTTAACATCCTTCATCCTATCTTGCGGTGGTGTATTGGAGTTATTTGTCGAGGCTTAGATTGCAGTTAAGTGTGTGTTGTTTATAGAGTAATGCTAGGATGTCCAAATTTTTGTACCAAATTTGCTTACCATTTGACGTGGCACCGTAAATGTCATCCATGCATTAGTACAATGCATGGAAGGGGGTCCGTTGCACCAATACAATTTGATGACACATCATTTGGTAAGCCAATTTGGTTATCACAGGTCATTACTGTCTATTTCATTAGCTTTCTACTGGGTAGAGCATGAAATAACTGTTTTTGCAATAGATTTATCTACAAAAGGTGGGGATAAGCTGTATTTATATGGTATTCTACTTTAGCACCTATACACTGGGTGCTATTCATCCCAAACCTTTGATGATATATGAACTCTAAGCTGTATTTGTTATTATCTAGCTTAATATAGTAGGGATAGTCACTCCTTTCGTTTTTTGTAATCAGTATTTGGAGTTCCAATTCAGATGGCTGTGCAGCGACAACAATCCAACAAGCCCGTTCCCCTTATTTTGGTCACATGTGCAGATTATCTCATATTATCAGGTATTTGCATGAGATTGCATAGAAGTATAGTTTATTCCATCTTGATACTTCATTTTAATGCTTGTAGTCACTCTCATTTTTCTTTTGATCTAGGACTAAACTCGCAAGAGTTGTTCAAGTCAGAAGGAGACAAAAAGGTTATTCAGCAATTGGTTTCATTATACAACCAAGGTATCCGAACGTTTGATATCATATTTGGTTTTTGTGTAATTCTATGTGATCGTGCTTTACCAACTGGTGTTTTTTGTATTCTACAGATTCAAATGCATCATTGCCAGAGGGGATAGATCCAGTTGATGTGGCAGCCCTGGTCAAGTGTTACCTTGCAAGCCTTCCTGAGCCATTGACCACATTTGAGCTATATAATGAAATCAGAGATGCTCGCTCAAGCATAAATGTGATGAGAAATATATTGAAGAAGCTTCCTACTGTTAACTACATGACACTAGAATTAATCACTGCACTACTGCTCCGTGTTAGCCAGAAGTCACTTCTAAACAAGGCAGGCTGAACATCTCTCTCTCTCTCTCTCTCTCATGTGTACACTTGTGCATTTCATAGGTGCATGCATTACTTTTGATTATGTTGAGCATGTTAGAAGAAATAAAGGAAGGTCAAGAAGGATATGGGTGGAGGTGGTAAGAAAACACATAATTGTCTTAGACTTAATTGAGGACAAGAACCAACTGAATGAAATAGATCCATGAATCCAACCCAAGTAATTGGGGGAGGTGTCTGAGGGATTTAGCTTGATTTAAGTTCATCTACTTCTGGAACATGGAAATGGCAAATGAACCTCCTTTTTAAGAGGAATTATTTATCAGCTTAGTCATTACCCATGAGCTGAGAGACCATTCCATTACTTGAGTATGAAACCACTCTCTTTATTGCATTTGTAATTGCTGTAAAGATGTCCAATTGATTGGAGAAACAATAAACCTAAACATCCCAACAATTATCGGGCATTACACAAAATTTTGAAACTAAGTTATAACATGCTAACGAAGGTCTAGCTTTCCCTAGATAGGATTCCTGTAACCTTTTTTTGGTATAACAAGCTCTATATTTGGGTTGACATTTAAGAAGATACTGATAACTGGTTGACTTACTCATTCAACTTTGTTTTAAAAGAAAACAAATATCTTTTAGGTTTATGATTATAACTAACTAAACCAACTAGAAGACTGATATTCCTGGATCTCACTTCCATAGATTTAATTGCCTCTCCCGTTGGTAGAGATTTAGTATTCATTTGAAAGGGAAACTCATGTAATGGTTAACCTTTCTTCTTTAGGGTCATTCTAAAGAAGGCCTTTTAGGTTCATATCCATTGAGTGTTTGATTGTGCTTTCATCATAATACAGTGGAATCAAATTATTTTATTTTATTTTTCTTTTCAATATGGCCATTTGGTGTGCAATTGTTATTTAAAGTAACTTCTGAGCAACATTCACATTCCAGACATCGGCCCTGTTTGGTATAGCTTAATTTCAGCTTATTTCAGCTTTCAGCTTAATTTAAACTATTTTGATGTGTTTGGTTTAGCTTATAGCTTATAGCTTATAGCTTTGTGGAAGTCAGAGAAGGCCTTTTAGGTTCATATCCATTGAGTGTTTGATTGTGCTTTCATCATAATACAGTGGAATCAAATTATTTTATTTTTTTTCTTTTCAATATGGCCATTTGGTGTGCAATTGTTATTTAAAGTAACTTCTGAGCAACATTCACATTCAAGACATCATATTATACCAGGTTAGTGGGCTTACTGATTATATTACTTACAGATGGATGCTCGAAGCCTTGGCATGGAAATGGCCCCTATCATTATGTGGCAGAAGGGACATAGACTGGAATATTATAAACAGTTTTGGAATCAGCCTGCCAAAACACTTTCCAAGGAGAATATGGATTCCACATCTAATTTAAATGCTTGGGACATGCTTGATGGTTAGTAATCCTCTCTATTTCATTATAGTGCATATATGCACACACACTCGCACACACGTAATATACATCTTTTTGCAGGAATTTTGCACTCTGTTATAAAAGTTGTTACTGTAATAACATCTATATATATGCATAGATATTACGTTACCATATGCATGAAGGACGTTCACATGTGTTCTGCTTGGAGTGACTCAAATGTGTTTGTAAAGTGAGAAAGAAGGAAAAAATTATCCGATTTAAAATTAAAAAATAATTTTACACTGAATATGTCTCTGGAAAAATAAATAATGAGTTTTACGACACCAAACTCGTAATTTAGCGTGGGAATATATTAAAGTAAATTGAGATTTTCGTAAGGCTTGTTAGACAATTCTCAACACGTGTTTGACACATGTCAATGTGCCTTACTATTTAAAATAAAAAATAAATAAATAGGACAAGCTTCAGGCACTTGATAGACACGGTGGCTTAAAACATTTGAAACACTTTGAAGCTAAAAACTTATAATCCGACAATAAAATGAAAAGCAATGTTGATTTATACATATTAATCCCTTGTCTTTTAAACAAGTTTAAAATTGTACAGCACAAATTTTTTAGTTTATTTATGAGTAGAGCTTTCTAAAATAGATATTAGGACTATTAGTTTACACTTATTGTTCAATATGTAGAATGTGGAAAATTATTTCTTACTATTTGATACAATAAAATATAGGGTAAATTACAAATATACCTCCTGAGGTTTGCTTAAAATACAGATTGTTCCCTGTGGTTTGAAAAATTACAAATACCCCCTTATTAGAATTTTTTATTTAACAGAATTAACTAAAAAAATTAAATTCATAATTGCTCTCCTATACAATAATAAAATTACGTAAATTATTAATTGAAACATATTTTTAACATCATTAAAAATTGTTAACTGACTTGATGATTTATTAATGAAAGGGGCGATTTGTTATGAAATTAAAAACCTCAAGGGTGGAACGTAATTTTTAAAACCGCAGGGGTGATTTGTATTTTAATCAAACCTCAGGGGGCGTATTTGTAATTTACCCTAAAATATAAATGGTTGTTAATTATTTTATTTTTTTGCAATGGCACTGGGTATTCGGATCAAAACTCGACTAATCCCCAGTGGTGCACAGGCCCTTGGCAAAGAGCTAAATGGTTGGTAATTTAAAAATGAAAAAAATAGTTGTTATTTTCATGTACACGCAAAAAATATAAATTTACCTGTACGGTCGTGTCTTGTTTTTTTAAAATTGTTGTGTCAATCTATTTGTATCGTGTCATATCCATGTCCCGTGTCCATGTTCGTAACCGTATTTGTGCTTCTTACTTTCAAAACATGAGGGCAATTGAGATGAGAATATTGATATAGACTGGTGTCATAAGAAAGAGGGACTAGGAACGTATCCAAATAAGTTAGAATTCGACTAATTGAAGGTAAAACGAGGTAAAACTAGTATGCCTGCAAGGGATAGTGATTGCATTTGGGTGGTAAAATAAGTAGAGGAAGTCAAATGAGAAAATGGGTTGAGGCGATGAGAAGGTACCTTATTGTTTTAGATTTAATTAAGGATATGACTTCTAATATAGCTAACTAGGGGAATAGATCAATCTAGACAATGCCATGTAGTTGGGGCAATAGCCCATGCAAAAACTTCATTAGTTGTTGGACTTGTTTGAAAATTGGAGTTGTCTCTCAGCTTGTGGACATGGGTCATAGGAGATTAATAACCAAGATGTGAAATAGATGTTCATGAGGATATCAGTGAAGGCCCTTCAAAATTGAACTATTTTTTACAGTAACCGTATTTGTGCTTCTTACTTTCAAAACATGAGGGCAATTGAGATGAGAATATTGATATAGACTGGTGTCATAAGAAAGAGAGACTAAGAACGTATCCAAATAAGTTAGAATTCGACTAATTGAAGGTAAAACGAGGTAAAACTAATATGCCTGCAAGGGATAGTGATTGCATTTGGGTGGTAAAATAAGTAGAGGAAGTCAAATGAGAAAATGGGTTGAGGCGATGAGAAAGTACCTTATTGTTTTAGATTTAATTAAGGATATGACTTCTAATATAGCTAACTAGGGGAATAGATCAATCTAGACAATGCCATGTAGTTGGGGCAATAGCCCATGCAAAAACTTCATTAGTTGTTGGACTTGTTTGAAAATTGGAGTTGTCTCTCAGCTTGTGGACATGGGTCATAGGAGATTAATAACCAAGATGTGAAATAGATGTTCATGAGGATATCAGTGAAGGCCCTTCAAAATTGAAGTTTTCTTGTGGACCATGGATCATAGGAGATTAATAACCAAGACCAAAAATAGATGTTAATGAGAATATCGGTGAAGCCCCTTCAAAAGATCAGGAGATTGAAAAGTTACTCTAGGATTGTAAAATAACAGAGTAATGTAGTTGAAGTTAATTAGCTTGAAAGAAATAAATAGGTAGTTGGACCCTTCATGGTAAACAAGGCCATTTAAGGAGATGCATGGAGAGAAGAGGTTGTTACAACTTTTACAATTAAACAATTGAGAGAATTATAGTAGGAATTTAGTACCTCAGAGTTGTCTTTATAGACAAGCCAATCTGAACAAGTTGCTTAGAGATGTTGAATTAAGGTTGAATTGGGAAATACACATGGAGGACAGGTAGAAAATCTAAGGGATCAATCGCAAGAAATTGTCAGGAACTTGAGATTTGGATGAGGATTGATAGTTTTCTATTATGAAGTTCAAGATAGTTAACTCTGATCTACTTGGTTTTGAAACGTAAAACATGGTCTAATTTTATTAGTTAAAATTCACGTGGGTTTCTGGGAAATAATATATTGTTTTCTTTTCTCGATTTGTCTGATACAATAACTAGTGGACTGTATTTGGTTTTCAAAATTGTTTTTCATATTTTTTTTTTATCTTTCATGAAGTTTTTTCATAGTGTAGTCAAATTCACTTAATTCACCAAAAAATTAAAATAGTGTTTTTTTTTTTTTGGTCTTTCGTGAACTTTCTTTTTCAGATTTCTTCACAACTATTTTTCTTTTTAGGTGCATCTAATTTTTATTTTTATTTTTTTTTAAAAATAACTAAAATATGAAAAAAGTTCACTAAAAACAAAAAAACTCAAACTGGATGCACCTAAAAAGTAAAATATTTGTCAAGAAGTCTAAAAAAAATGTACTAAAAAAAAAGAACAAAGAAACTCAAAAATAGTTATCAGAAACTAAACCAAACAAGGTGGAAAACACGGAATGGTAACTGAGATGTTTTATCCTCTTCTTCTCTTGAACTATAGAATTTAAAAAACTGTGCTCCACATTTTCTGTTTGTGAACCATTCTTGCGAGTATAATTTTGGATGAGGATTGATAGTTTTCTATTATGAAGTTCAAGATAGTTAACTCTGATCTACTTGGTTTTGAAACATAAAACATAGTCTAATTTTATTAGTTAAAATTCACGTGGGTTTCTGGGAAATAATATATTGTTTTCTTTTCTTGATTTGTCTGATACAATAACTAGTGGACTGTATTTGGTTTTCAAAATTGTTTTTCATTTTTTTTTTTTTTTTTTTTTTTCATGAAGTTTTTTTTAGTATAGTCAAATTTACTTAATTCACCAAAAAAGTAAAATAGTGTTTTTTTTTTTGGTCTTTCGTGAACTTTCTTTTTCAGATTTCTTCACAACTATTTTTCTTTTTAGGTGCATCTAATTTTTATTTTTATTTTTTTTTAAAAATAACTAAAATATGAAAAAAGTTCACTAAAAACAAAAAAACTCAAACTGGATGCACCTAAAAAGTAAAATATTTGTCAAGAAGTCTAAAAAAAATGTACTAAAAAAAAAGAACAAAGAAACTCAAAAACAGTTATCAGAAACTAAACCAAACAAGGTGGAAAACACGGAATGGTAACTGAGATGTTTTATCCTCTTCTTCTCTTGAACTATAGAATTTAAAAAACTGTGCTCCACATTTTCTGTTTGTGAACCATTCTTGCGAGTATAATTTATTTTCATTCACATTCTTGTGATTTTTTTCTTTTGATCTGTGGAAATATTGAGGAATATCTTTAAGTGAACATTTTCCTTCACTGTTTTCAGCTGAAAACATTATTGCAATTTAACTGGTTCTTATCTTTTTCTTTTCTTGTATCCTATGATATGTGCCTGCAGAAGAGGGTGAAGGTGTAGATGCAGATGCATCCTCCCTCATTCCTTTGGATGATGGCTTGCCAATTGACTTCAGTGCTATAGAGGTTGTTCACTGCTTAATCGAACATCACAATGCAATTTTCACAGATGCCAATGAGACTGTCTGGAGATGACTTTAGATTTCCTCTTTTCCCATTATATTGGACTGTATAGCCAATAATTTCACAATATGGACTGTTTTTTCTCTTTGTGGTCGTTGCCTAATAGCACAGATGTAAAGTTTTTTGCTAGCTTTGGGTGTTTTCATAGTGTGGGCATATATTTTTAGATTTAAGTCAGCATTAGATTTAAGTTTGTGTCTAAAAATATATCTTCTTCCCCCTCTATTTTGTCGAGACTCGTATATAATTCATGTGAAATATTTGACCCTCAAGCTTATTTGCTTTTTGCATGGGTTTCCTTTGAATGTCTGTCTAGAGATTCCTCTTAATCAGGGCCTTCTTGGTTGAGGCCATTTTTTTTCTTTAAATTGCTTGTAAATGCCCCCCATGAACAATGAAATAAGAAAACATATACCTTTTCCATAAGAAGAACAGAAGAAAGAGAATGAAAATGCCAAAGGACATTTCTTACATTTGGAAGTTACCATTCATCGGCCTCTACTGATTTATAAGGTGAGCGATTTGGCTGCTGCCGTTGACCTGTCTACTGATTAGAAGGGTATTTGTCAAATGATGTATGATGTGCTGAGTTTTTCGTAAATTAGAGGACTGTATCATCAACGAGTGATTTTTTTATTATTACAATAGCAATGAGTATCATAGCTTATGGTTCCAAGTTCCAACTTGGAATGCCGTTGGGATGTTGTTGGAGAGGATTTCTAATAAAAAAATAAAAAAATTTCTAAGTTCCCAATTTCTAAGTTCTAAGTGCTGAGTTCCAAGTTCCCAATATGTAAAAAATAAATAAAATAAAAAAATTTGTAATTCCTTCACTATTTTTTTAATATCACTTATATCTTTTTCATCTTATTCCCTCTTCCAACCTCTATTTAAATTTCCTCCTCCATCTGAATCCCTTCCCCAATTTTACAAACAAATACATTACTAAATAGCTCACCTCTCTCCTAATCTCATTCCATCCTTTACACCCAAAACAAACGGGCCTAAGTACTCTTTCATGACTACCTAAGTAATTATTCAGGGACAGGCTAGTCCTATTTTAGGCATAGGTAAATAATATGGTGTTCATGAGCACAAGTGGCATTGGCCATTTTCACACCATTCACAAACAGACACCATAATAACCTATCAATTGATCTACCACTTTACGAACCACTTATTATGATTATATATATGTATATGATACTGTGGATCGCACTATGCTTCTTTGGTTTGTTTGTTTGTTTTTGTTCTTGTTTTTATTTTTGAGGAAATAATAATATTATAAAGTATTATATGGGGTTATTGTTTACAGACATAATCAACACATGGGCTAATTAGACTTGGATACTTTAAAAATACACTGAGATTCCAAATATTTACTAATAGATTTAATAAACATAATAATTGTAGCCACATTCAATAGGAAGATGAAGTAGAAAAGCCTTCTGATCAACCAAGACCTGATCTTCAGCGTAGCATACCCAAGCAACACCTGCAGTGCACTTCTCAGGTATCCATCATCCATCAACAACAATGGTCCAGACCTGAGAAGTTGCAAGGCTAGAAGACGAATTCACAACAAAAAAAAATATCCTGAACCTGTTCTTCATCCTTATATGCATTAGTTATATTCAAAAACAAAACATAATTAATTCTCTTATATAAACTATTTACGAGTTCTTGGGCATGATCCACATCTTGAACAATAGTCATTGGCTTGTGTTAATAAAAATTATACTAATTTGCAATTGACAGAAATTGAATAACAATTTAAACCAAACAATAGAACAAGAACAATCAAGCAATTTTGCAATTGATTCAAATGCTCAAAAGAATGAGGACTTATCTGGAATAATTGACAGTTACGAAGTAAACATAGCAAACAAATTTCAGAATGAAACTACAAAAGTTCACCAAGTTACAAATTACGAATTACAGAGAAACCCCTCATAAGTTACAGAACTACTCATAAGTCTAAAAACAAAATGTTGAGTTGTTGATGTTCCCTCTCTCTGTCAACTCCTTGGCTTTTATATCTTGCTCCTTTTTTTTTGGTCCATGATTGCATGATCCTTCCTAGCATCCATCATAACTGCCACTATAACTACTTCCTTGTCTTTCAATCTTCAAACTCTGCCAAATCTTTAACCTTCTTTGTCGAACTAACTCTCCACTATGTTGCCAAGTGTCCCATATCACTCTGAGAAGCATATCAACAAAGAATTCACCTCCCATTGCAAGCATCAACTAGCCCACTAGAGTATAAAACTAGCCAGTTACTGCTACAAAGTTGCCTCCACCATTTTATGCACATGACCACTCTTTTCATGCCATTTGTCCCTTTGATTGATGAAGGACTTCCACTTTGACTCCATCACGTGTCATCTTTTAATTTGTTCACCTATCGACAGGAATGTTGCAAAAATGGGTGCAAATAGCTTGCTATTGAAGACTACACTATTCCTTTGCTTCCAAATAGTCCAGAGGATCACAATAGATTGGATGATCACAACTTCCTCATTCACAAGTATAACCCACTACTAAACCATTCTTTAAAACTTACAGGTTCCCCACATGAAAAATCTAGGCCGAAGGATGATCCCATCCATATTCTTTGAGAATCTAGGCATATGAAGAAAGTATGATCCAGAATTTCAATAGTTTCAGAGCATCGATCAAAGCTATGCCCCACATTCTTAAGTTCCATCTAACTAGAAGCAGATTGCGAAGGCACTTCCAAATAAACATTATCCATTTTGAAGTGATGTTGAGTTTCCATAACCATTTCCAGAATGATGAGTTCAAACTAGAAAGATCAAAATTTCTTTGTTCCAATAGATCAACAGCATGAATAGACCCCGACTTGACTGTATACTCCCCATTCCTAGATGTTCTCCAAATTGGTTTGTTCCTGAAGGGCAAATGAATACCTTGAATATGAGGTATACATTATAACGGTAAAAAAAGATGGTATGAGGTCAAGTCACCAATCACGATTATTAGCTTCCAAGAAATGGAATAATGATAGAGATGAGAAGTAGTGCGAGAGTTCCCAACTACAGACTGGATTTACTACAGAAGCAATTCATTGATGTTCAATTGGGTCAATCGATTTTCCAGCCCCACTATCCATCTAATCCCAGAACCAACTTATAGACAAGTAAATAAGTGAAAGTAAAATATATATATACATATATATACATATGAATTTTAAATACATAACAAATTAACATTAAAATAAATTGGATTATTTAGTAACATTGCTAGTTTTTTTGACTTGGAGCATATTCAATGGTGCATCAATTTTTCATCAAATTTGAATAAAAGTTTCCTTTGATATCAAGTGTTCCAACGGAGGATTTTGGAGTTTCGTCAGAACACCGGTTGATCGGGCGGATGTCCAGCCGGTGTAATTTTTTTTTTTTTTTTGGCCTGGAGGTGGTTGACTGGACGGTCAACTAGGGGAATGACTAGGTGATCGACCGGCTAGTGTAATTTTTTCACAATTTTTGCCTTGAGGTGGTTATCCAGAAGGACATTTAGGGAACATCTGGTGGTGAAAATCAAACGGCTATGAACAATGATTTGATGAAAAGTACATTTGTCCTCAGTTTGATGAAAAAAATGAAAAAAATATTCTGAATTTGATACCTATTTGATGAGATCGTTGGAGCAGGAAAATGAGTCACTTTTCACCAAATTCAAATTTGTTAACAAGTCCAAGTAACCATTGGAGATCGTCTTATAGTGAATTCTTTTCAAATTCGAGGAATTTCTCTTTTAACTTTTTAAAACAGTCTAACCTCCATTTATAATAATAATAAGGGTAAATTACACTTACCTACCCTGAGGTTTGCCTTAATTATAGATACATTTTTCTATGGTTTCAAAAATTACACAGACCTCCTTTACTTTTGAAACTAATATACAAAGACCCCCTTCTGTTACCTATCCGTCCAAAATCAAATAGATTTTGCTGATGTTATCCATAATTATTATACAAATTCCAATACTACCCTTCAGCTACTTAACATATTAAAATAAATTACACTTACCTCCCCCTGCATATATATATATATATATATATAAACACATACATATCTATATATGCACATATAAATATCTAGTATATATATGAATCATGTTATAATACATATTCTTAAAATAATATACTATATGCAATTTATGACATTTGTGGTTTTGATAATTAAATCTTTTTTAGTCATAATTAAAAACAAAAGTCATAATCAAATACCACATAAAGTATAATTAAAAACATTTTGGATCATAACCAAAATAATAATTACAATAGATGATAACTAACATCAGTTGTAACTAACACCATAATAAGTTGTAACCAAGCCATAACTAACACCACAAATGAGCCATAACCAAGTTATTATTAACACCACAATAAGTCATAATCAAATATCACAAATGTCATAACTGAAATATATGATCCTATATATATGTGTTAACTTTTAAATTTAAATGATTACATATATATTCTATTTTTCTTTTTCTTTTTTCTTTTTTCTTTTTTCTTTTTATATATGTTTTTCTACCCTCACTCTCTTTATAGAAACTCTTTCTACTCTCTTTCTCCTCAACAATTCATTGGTAGGATTATTGATAACCACCGATGCATAATCCAATCCCATTGTCAAATAAATTCTCCAAACCTCATATTTTCAAATCACTATAAAATGGTTTTTTTTTTTTTTTATTTCAATAGTTAATGACTTTTTTTTTTTTTTTGCATTTTATTTCAATAGTTAATAACTTTAAGAATAATTAATTTTAAATGTTTACAAATTATTTTTTGACCAATACCTGAATTAACTGAATAAAAAATATTCACAATTATTAAATGATTATAAAATTAAAAATTGTGCTATATATAAAAATTATTTTTGAGGTATTTTTTTAGACAATGCTTTACAGCTAACTAAATAAAATTATTTACAATTAAGTGTTAAATGAAATGATTATAAAAATAAAAATTATGCCATAAATAAAAATTATTTTTGAATTACTGATTGTATTTATTTTTTAAAGGCATTTTTTAAACAACACATTAAGAAAATAAAAAATATTAAATAAAATGATTATAAAAATAAATGCAACCACTATTTATATATTTTTTATTTTACATGATAATGTAATGAAATAAAAGTTTTTAAAAAATTGTAAAGAAAAAAAATTTATATAAGATTTTTTCTTTGGGTTTAAATCACTTGAGTATTTGTTCTTTTTTGTAAGCTTTTATTTATTTTTTTATTTTTTGGGAAAGAAAACTATTCAAAATATTGTAAAAGGGAGGTACTTGTAATTATGCTAAACCTCAGGGGAGGTAAGTGTAATTTACCCTAGGAAAGAATGAATGGTAGGTTTTTTTACATTAAGAGCTAGTTGTGTCTTTTCACAATGTGATTTAAGGGTATTATGGTCAATTTTACTGTCAAGTTATCGTCATTGAGGCTCTTTCAACAAGAAGGGAGAATCTTAGGCCTTGTTTGGGGTACCCTAAAAAAGTCAAAAAGTCATTATCCAATTTAAGTCATATCATTTTATTTAAGTCAAATCATCTCTCTACCACATCACTTCAAATTCAATCCATATTTTATAAAAAGTCAAAAAATGCACTTATTTAGATCATTCCAAACCATCCCTTATTTTCAAAAAGAAGAGAGGTCTGTGTAATTTTTGAAATCACAGAAAAAGTATCTGTAATTAGACAAACCTCCAAGGAAACAAGTGTAATTTACTCTAATAATAATAACCCTAGAGAACCTATAAATCTGAAAGAATTAGAATTTTTTTTAAAAGAAAATTTACTAAAGATAAAAATAAACTGAAAATGACAAGCTAATTTTATTTATTGAGCTTATTTAAAGAAATATATTGACCCTATCTAAATGTTTCTAATCTGTCATAAATAATAAAACAAAAATGTTTGGGAAGTAGAAAGAGCCTGATTCCGTCAGAATGATGTGGTCAGATGATTGGTCGAACATCTAATCAGATGATAGGTATTTACTTTTGTCAACCGTGATTGTTATCCTTATTAACAGTGATTGTCACCCTTATCCGTCGGTATGTCCACCAACATGCTCCCAAATGACTGGTAAGAGGATCTCTAGAATGACCTGCTAGGCAATTAGCTTGTACAAATTCGGACGAGACCAAATTTAATGGGGGGTAACATTATTGATAAAAAAAATAATTTTTTAAAATTATTTAAATTTTTTAAAATAAGAATATTATTCAAGTTTTAAATCTCGTTTGAAAATATATTATTATTTTAATAATTTTTTAATTTTTTTTAAAAAAATTAAATAAAATAAAGATAATAATATAAAATCTTATAATAATTTTTTAACATTTTCAACTAAAATTTTTAGTACCAAACGAGGGCGGGTCTCATAATCCGAGTGTTAACAAAGAGAGAGAGAGAGAGCCCCTCACCATTCTTCAATAATGGAGGTCACCGCCACCACCATCAACAACAACAATAACCTTCTCGTCAGAATCGTCGTCCTCTTCACACTCCTCTCTATGGTAATCTCATATTCACTCAACTCTTTTCTGCACTTAAGTTTAACATTTTCAACTAAAATTTTTAGGGCAAATTACATATACACCCCTCGAGATTTGGTTAAATTACAGATACCCCTGAGGTTTCGGAAATTACATCCCGCCCCCTGAGGTTTGTATTTTCATAACAATTTACCCCCTGAGGTTTATATTTCATAACAAATTACCCCCTAATTTCTTATGCAAATATAGCATTCAGGGGGGAATTCGTAATTTCTCAAACCTCAGGGGTATTTGTAATTTAGCCAAACCTCGAGAGGTGTATATGTAATTTGCCCAAATTTTTAGTACCAAACGAGGGCGGGTCTCATAATCCGAGTGTTAACAAAGAGAGAGAGAGAGCCCCTCACCATTCTTCAATAATGGAGGTCACCGCCACCACCATCAACAACAACAATAACCTTCTCGTCAGAATCGTCGTCCTCTTCACACTCCTCTCTATGGTAATCTCATATTCACTCAACTCTTTTCTGCACTTAAGGGTTCTCCAATTTTGTGTCTCTATTTGTATATATACTTTTGTCTAGGTTTTGCTGTGATTGTAGTTTTCTGGGGACTTTTCAATTCTATTCAAATCTTTGGAAAATGATCTCATGAATGTTTTCATTTATTTATTATTATTATTATTTGTTTTTCAAATTTGATGAAAAAATGACAAACTGTGCTCCAATCATTTCATCAAATCTGCATCAAATCACTGAAGAGGCAATTTTTTTTCACCAAATCAGCCCTTCATCAAATTTTCAACAGTCATATTTTCACTCAAATTTGATGGAAATTAAATTAAAAAAAAAAAAGTAATTAATGGAGATGATTTTCTTTCATAAAAAAATGATTGAAACAAGTTTTTAGGATAAATTTGGAATTTTTTAAAAAGATTTGAATGGGTAAAAAAAAAGAAGTTAAAGATTGGAGTGTTCCATATCAGATCAAGCTTTTAACAAATTTTCAATCAATTTTGATGAAAAAAAGAGAGTAAGAATTGGAGTTACTATGTTGTGATCTGTTTTGTTGAGTTTTTTTAACCAAATGCTTGTGATTTTAGACTTATTTCTCTGATAGAAATGCTTTCCAACATATTTATCAAAAGAAGGTTCTTTGTTGAAGGCGTGTTGAGACTTTTGCTTAACTTAAGTTGTGTTTTCAAAACACTGATGATGTGTTTTTGGAAACATCAAATATCTTATTGTAACATTTTTTTAAAGTCATAATTTCAAAACACAGGCTATTTGAAGTCGTTTTTGAAAACATGACTTCGCAAAATAACATGGGTTTGAAAAATAAGTTCAATTGTAAAGTCTTTTGAAGTAGTATTTTCAAAACATGACTTCCACAACTTCATTTGTAGTCGTCCATCAAGCACAGACACTTCAAAACAAGTGCCGAATCTGTGTCGGACACACGAACACTTCGGGGATCCACAGACATGGTAGGGACACGTATGGGACACATCACATGGCGTGTCTCCTTAATTAATTTATTTTTAGAGAACACACTGGGAATACTTAGGGGACACGCTAGAGACATGTCAAGTTGTCTTTTTTCCCATTTTATTATTGTTTTTGATGAATGTTGAATGTTAAATGTTTAATTTTTAATTTTTTTCTTCTTCTTAAATTTAAATGCATAATAGATTATCCATAAAAAAAAAATTCATAAACTATAAATGTTAATTTAGAAGTATTTTTTTTAAAAAAATATAGAATTAGAGTTAGTTTTTGTTAACATTGATTGTTTGTGAATGTAATATTAATTTAGATAGCAAACAAAAATTTATGAAAATATATTTTATTATCGTGTCTCTGCCGTGTCCGTGTTCTCATTTTTTTAAAATCACCTTATCCCGTATTCGCATCCGTATCCGTGTTTTTGCTTCTTAGGTAGTCGTGTTTTGGAAATGATACTTCACAAAATAACATGGCTTTGACTGAGAAATATGATTTCAAATCACATACATTTGGTAAAAAACTCCTGTTTTCTTCCCCTGTTTCAACTCTCTCTCTCTCTCTCTGTCTCTCTCCCTCTCTCTCTATATATATGTCTGTGTGTGAGTGTGTGTTGTTAATCAGGCATTGGGACATGAGGTTGGGAATTCAGGGCAGTTCCCTTTAGTTGTGAGTACCTGGCCTTTCTTGGAGGCTGTTAGAGCTGCTTGGAGGGCTGTCGAAAGTGGGTTTTCTGCAGTTGACGCAATTGTGGAGGGTTGCTCAGCTTGTGAGGACCTAAGATGCGATGGTACAGGTGGGAGTATGAAGCCAATACATGTGTTATGTTATTTGAAGTACCTTATTTTGTTTTTACTTTATCTTCTTTTTTGTGTTATTATGTGTACTTATTGCCTGTGTCTTGCATGTGCAAATATTTATGATGTCGGTGTTAATTCTATGGGGAAAGGAGGTAGCTTATAATTTCTTTGTTCAGCCTAATGGCTGGTTGAGTTTTGGAGTTATCCTAGGGTAGTAAACTAGTTGATTTTCTTCTTATTTATTCAAGGGTTAATTGCATCCAAAAATAAGTTTACCGCATACTGTTTTGTTCGAATTTATAGAATGTGTGCATAACTGAAGTCCAGGAAACACCTATTGATGAACATAGTTAATTATTGCGGCTCATTTCAGATGTATCTGTAAAGAAAAAATAGATTTTAGGTGAAGATATGGTTTTACTTTTTTCTTTATTTTTTAAAGGTGAAGATATGGTTTAACTTCTTTTGGTAAACTTTATTTTACTCTCTTTGTTACGTGAAGAGACTTTTTTGGGGCATTGATGGTCTTGGCAAATATTAGATCGTTGGTGTTCTTATTCAGGAAGCTTTTTTGTTTTTTGTTTTTTTGTTTTTTTTTGTTTTTTTCATTTTGATAGTAAAAAGTACCAAAAGGTTGTGGAGAAGTTGGAGATGGAAATCCTGGACTATACACAGGAAGGCAATTTCATGTTGAGAGATGAGTTTTTCTATTTTCTTAAAGAAGACACTGCATTGAGGAGGATATGATGGGGACTTTTTTGGAGGATTTGGTGATGTTTCTTTCATCACAAATCTGGATTTGGAGAGAAGAGGCAATAGTTAGATGTCAAATTAAATGGATTGCAAGATAGAAGAAACCAGTTTTGTTGAGAACCATTGGGCATTGTGACTTAAAGATGGCATTTGAAAATGTACAATTTTTTTATTGATTTACTTTTTTTGTAAGTGGCAAATTTTAGATGGATGCAACCTTTTATTTCTACTTAAGTTGGGTAGTCAACTCTGATTGTTTGTTGTCATAGCTATTTTTGGAGCTGATTTCATTATTTCCTGTTTTTTAGTCAATGATTTTGTTGTGACCGAACTCACATTTGGTGACACAAGCATCAATAGAACCTCTAGCCATCTCAATGATGCTTGTAAAAGTAACACTAGAAATGTCCATATTTATTTTTAGATTTCATTGATTTTGGGCACTTGGACCTCCCTAGGGCACCAAGTAAATGTTTCTAAGATGCCCTTGGTTATGATCTTTTTTGGGTTCCCCTCAATTGCACGAAAAGATTCAAATCAACTCCTTAGGATCCATGTTTCCAAGGTGTGATTATAAGTTTTACATTGGATGCTAGCCTACCACAACCCTGCGCTTTTCTTTGGGATTGAGACTGGCTCTCAAGCACAGAGAATGTACTTTTTAACATATTGGAGACTTGGACTATTTTTTATATGCATTTAACTATATCATCTAAATTGGTTTGTGTTTCTATTAAGGCTGTCAATCACATGGCCATGCAACTGTTAGTCAGGTTTCACTTGCACCGAAGAGGACTTGATTAGTCGATTTCCTTCTTATGGACTAGGAGACTCATTTTATCTAGCAACTTTATGCTATATTCTTTTGATTGAATGTTTAGGATGTTTATTCAACGAATATAGGTAGAGCATTGACTTTCAAAGACCAATGGAATCATCTGTTGCCTGTTTTGGATATCTCCTTTGAGATGATATTTTTGGTTACATGTTTTCCAAACAGAAATAATAATGGTTAAATTATTTCCAGAAGATTTGTGGTTTTGTCTTCTGTTAGGAAGTCATTAAAACTTGAAATTGATCCAAGATTCCAAGTTCTCAGAGAAAGATATGATTTGGGATCTTATCTGGAAGTTGTATGTTATTGTATATCATAGAATTGGCCCTATCTAGTATATCATAGAATCTTAAATGAGCACTGTCTTGAAAATATCGTGCTTTTCATATCTAGTTTATTTGTGATAGCATAGTTACTGATTACTGCTAAACATTCTCACAATTACCTGTAACTATAATACAGTTGGGCCTGGTGGAAGTCCAGATGAGAATGGGGAAACTACGATTGATGCTCTGGTCATGAATGGGGTAACAACTGTTTAATATTTATTATATACCCTTGTCAATGAATGTTGCTTTGTAAATATAAATGACAACCTATCTTGGGTCTGCTAAGAACATGCATAGGTTACAATGGAGGTTGGAGCTGTTGCTGCTATGAGGTATGTAAAAGATGGTGCCAGAGCTGCGAGATTAGTAATGCAGCATACTGAACATACCATGCTAGTTGGAGAGCAGGCCTCAGCCTTTGCCATTTCTATGGGTCTTCCCGGACCCACAAACCTTAGCTCGACAGAATCACTCGAAAAATGGATTAAATGGAAGGAGAACGGTTGCCAACCTAATTTTAGGAAAAACGTTTTACCTATTGATAGTTGTGGGCCTTATCATCTAAAGGAAACTGGGTACATAAGTCAGAACAAATGTTTGATGGAAACTACCACAAGGAGATCATCTCATGTAGGTCTTGGCAACCATGATACAATATCCATGGCTGTTGTTGATAAAGTAAGTCAAAGATCAAGACTTCTTTGGAATTTCTAATTTTTTGGAATTTTAGCCATTTCTTAAATCAAATTTCTGTTTCTTTTCAGATGGGACACGTTGCTGTTGGTACATCAACTAATGGAGCCACTTTTAAGATCCCTGGCAGGTAATAATAGCATTTGGTACAAAGGCTTCCAATCTTAGCAGTAATTCTGCAAGCAAAATATATCAATGATATATATATTTTTTGGGTATAAACATTCATGTTCTCTAATTAGCTAAAGGAAAACTTTTGCTGGACTCTAGGGTTGGTGATGGACCTATTGTAGGATCTTCAGCATATGCTGATGATGAAGTTGGAGCATGTGGTGCAACTGGCGATGGTGATATCATGATGCGGTTCCTGCCATGGTAATTTGCTAAAACATATGGTCTTGAATTTCAGTGTTAAGTCTGGTGGTCGTAGTCAAAACCTTAGCAGTAGGAAACTCCTACTCCAGAGTAATGTATCTTACTCAAACTTGATTCTGCACTCCTGTCAAGGAAGAAACTAGCTCTCAATTGAGATAGAACCTCACTATCACTTGTACTTTGGGCTCCAGCTTTGTACATTAACACACTTTGCACTTAAACAACAGCTGATGCATACGTGCACAAGCACATATGAAATAACACATGAAGCTGATTTATGCTGGTTCAGCACACACACGTGTGCACGTATAAAAACACACGAGTTATTTGGGCATGTATACCAGCTCAAAAAATGGCACGCATACTAGTGATGTTGGCATGATTTACCACCTCAAAAAGTCCATTTTCATCTGACTTGTTATATGGATGTGGTTTCAGTTATCAGGTTGTGGAGAGTATGAGGCTGGGAATGGAACCCAAGCTTGCTGCCAAAGATGCTATATTGCGAATTGCAAGAAAATACCCAGATTTTGTCGGGGCTGTTTTTGCAGTAAACAAAAATGGCGTGCACGCAGGCGCCTGTCATGGGTGGACATTTCAATACTCCGTGAGGAGTCCAGATATGGATGACGTGCAAGTATTTACGGTCCTCCCCTAAAGATGAATCAAATGCCTCCGGTTATGAACCAAATGCCTCCGGTTGCAAGTAAGCATAATGTGAAGGGGGTGTAATTTAAGGATTATAAAATTGTTTCAGATTCGGAACTTGAAGGAAAAGCATGTGGTTTATATTTAGAATAGTTTGTTTGGGATCTTTTTTCTTCCTGCTTATCAAGTTAGTGATGTTTCAAATTTTTATGATGAAGTTGATGAAATTCTTATGGCAGATGATTTTCATTTTTCAATGAAGGGTTCATTTCTGAGGTTGGAACAGAAGGATTCTCTAGTCTTCTCTTTATTTATTTATTTTTCGATCAAAAAAAGGTAATTGTTAGATTAGAACTAATAGGAATTAGCCCCTTCATCCTTGTAAAGTATCAAATGTTCGCCTCTTAATTCAACTCGCTCTTATGGAGAGTTAAACTCATAATCTCCCCAAGCCCTTAAAAAGAGTTCATTCTCTAGTCTGCTCTCTCTTATGTAGTTGGGATTTTTTTTATTTTTTATTTATTCTATTTATTTATTTTTTGATATTTGTACTTTCTTAAGCTCAATAAAAGATACCTTCGTATCCTATTTGGTTTAAGTTTTTGACGCGAGAAAACTACCTGAAAGAGAGGAAAATGAAATTCTCAAGGAAGTGATCAAGAATACTTACAACCTTTAATGTAAGTGTAAATTACACTAATCTTCCCTGCAGTTTGGAAAATATATAATAAACCTAGCAATTTTAACATAATTATGTTGATTTTTGTTTTAATAAAATTAAATAGATCAAAATTAATGCAAATTATGCAAAAATACAAAAATAAACAACGTATACATTTTCTTGCAAACAAAATTAAAAAGTTATTTTTTTTATTCATATAACTAATAAATTATTGTTGAAAAGAGAGTAAGTGTTAAAAAATAATTCAATTAAAGGAATTTTTTCAAACCTTAAGGAATGTTAGTATAATTTACCCCTAATATAAATAAGAGAAATCTTAATTTGAATAGGAAACCAATAGCTAACTAGGTTAAATTCTTGCTAAATACAAAATAATGACAATAGTGTTGCGTTCACAGAAATAGAACACAAAAATATATTGTGTGGCTGACATTTATTTCAAGTGCAGCCCATACTATACTCAAAGTGTATTTTAACTACACTAATTATGTGCAGATATCATTATTGAAAAAATAATATAATAAAATAAAATAGAATTTACCAAAATTTCAGCTATTAGAAAGTCTTAAAAGGCATTAAAGCAAACAAGGCTAAAAAAGGAAATTCTTAAATAAAACTATTACTTAAAATAAAGGAAAGTTTCCATAAAAGGAAATATTGCAAATTTAGAGGTCCAAATAACAAAATTTGTCATGACAAGGTAGCAAGTTTTGCTCTTTGAGCCATTTTCTATCAAACGAATGATTCGAAAGTTGGTGTCTTCTCGCCGAATTGATATGGTTTTATTCAAGAATCGAAACTCACATCACCTTGTGTGTGCTATTTTCTGACCACACTGCCAAATAGGTACTCAGCTGAAGAACACCGGCAGAATAAATTGCGCCCAAACGACCTGTCACAGAAATATGAGACTCCGGCGGTGGTTCATCCACCTGGGGGCACTCCGACGATCAAGTCAGTACTCAATTATCTCTCAAAGATAACAAACAATGCTTAACTCACTAGTCAGAACACAAAAAGCGTACCTTAGACCCATGAGGGTGCCTTGCTTTTATAGTCAGCACTAACCTGATCCCTGTAGAAGCCTAGCTTCCCTCGGACTCTGGTCCAATGCTCATCCTGGACTCTCTAATAGATAAAGATAAACTTCTTAAGAGCTTTATCCCTATCCAGGCTGAGGTCCTCCCCCATTCTATGACTCTTATAGCTTATCCGTTTATCCCGTATTGCGGCATCTTCGCAGATAACCTCGGCCACGCTGAGATCATCTCGGTGTCATGACCAGGACTCGTGGCACCTCGGCTGGAATTTCGGTGCCACCTTGGCCACGTGTTGTTATTTATAAAATATGTCCCCATAATTGTCCCTTAGGTTTTATTACCTCGATATCCTGTGGTGATGGAACCCATATCATTTGAACCCATAGCACGTCGGCTAAGTTTGCTCTATCATTCATTACCGAGGTCATCATTCGTCGGCTCCATATGACCAAGACTTGTAGTCTGTTTTTATCAATGCCTTAGAACCAAGAACCAAGTTCCAAGTTTTTTCAAGTTTTTTAGTCGAGATCGTCCCCATAGCCGAGGCCCTTGCTTCATTAAATCAAGAACTCCAAGAGTTCTACATGCGTATGAGCTGTTACGCACAATAACTCAACCATTTTCACCACGCGTCTTTATGATCATCTGGCAATTTCCCATCTCTAAGGAATACTATTATCGAATCCATCCAACTTGGTTCCTTCTCCACACACATTGTCTCATACTTTGTGTTTAGTGGTTCTACATTTGGTCCTGACAAATAGTCAACCATTATTGTCCTTGCCTCTCCTGGTTTCATTACACTAGCCAGGTTGGCCAAGGCATCAGCATGGTTGTTGTCATCTCAGCTAACTTGCTATAGTCGGCAGTTCTGGAGTCTGTCCACCTCCTTTACATAGGCCATCATCCATTCATCTTGGGTTGCGTATTCGCCTGTTGCCTGGTTGACGATAAGTTGGGAGTCATAGAAGACCATTACCTCATCGGCTTCCATTGCTACTGCCAACTTCAACCCTACGATCAGTGTTTCATATTCTGTTTTGTTGTTTGAGGCCTTAAATCCCAAATGAATGGATTGTTCCAGCATCTGCCCATCTGGCGATATTAGCACTACTTTTGCCCCCGCTCCTTATTGGTTTGAACTTCCATTAACAAACAGGCGGAAGGAGTCGCCAATGTAAATACTACAGGGCTTGAGTTTCTCTTCTTTCCTCTGTTTTGCTATCCCCAGCTGGGTTTCTCCTTGTTCACCTGGATATCATATACCTCGGTTCAATGGAGCCCGCTGTATAATGGAGCCTGGAGTGAACTCGCCCACGAAGTCGGCCAAAATCTGGCCTTTGATTGCTGCTCTGGGTCTGAATTCCAGGTTGTATTGGCCCAACACCACTGCCCATTTGGCTATCCTGCCTGTCAGATCCCCTTGTTGCAATAGAGATTTCAAAGGATGCTCAGTTAACACCACAATCTTGTGGGCTTGAAAGTAATGACTCAGCTTCTTGGAGGCCATCACTAAAGCTAGTGTCAGTTTCTCCAGGGGCAAGTATCTGGTCTTTGCATCTGCTACGGTTTTACTCACGTAGTAAGCTGCCCTTTGTTCTCCCTTTTTTCTCTAATTACCACTGCACTCACTGCATGCTCTGAAACCGCCAAGTATAAGAACAGCTCATCTCCAGGCACTAGATTTGAGAGAACTGGAGCGGTGGTCAAGTATTTCTTCAAGCCAGCTAAGGAGGCTTCGGACTCTTTTGTCCATAAAAAGTCTGTAGCTTTCTTCACTAAACTAAAGAAAGGTTTGCATTTGTCAGAATTTCTGCTTATGAACCTATTCAGGACTGCAGTCCTTCCAGTCAACATCTACACTTGTTTTGCCGATATTGGGCTCTTCAAGTTCAAGATGGCCTTGATCTGATCTGGGCTTGCCTTGATGCCCTTTCTGGTAACCAAGTATCCTAGGAACTTTCCTCACCCAACTCCAAATGTGCACTTTGACGCATTGAGTCGGAGCCGAAATGTCTTTAGGATATCAAAGACTGTCTTCAGGTCGGCCAGATGATCATCAGGTTCCTTGGTCTTCACAACCATGTCATCAATGTATACCTCCACTGTTTTGCCTATTAGATGTCCGAACATCTTAGTCACCAATCTCTAGTAAGTTGCTCCTGCATTTTTTAACCCGAAAGGCATCACTCTGTAGCAATACAGCCCTTTCAGGGTGATAAATGCAGTCTTCTCCTTATATGGGGGGTATATGGCTATCTAATGGTACTCCCTGTAAGGGTTTAGGAAGCTCATCCTTCCATGTCCTTAGATGGCATCCACCAATTGGTCAATTTTGGGGAGTGAGAAACTGTTTTTAGGACAAGCCTTGTTCAGGCTGGTGAAGTCCACACAGACCCTTCACTTCTCATTCTTTTTCTTCACAACAATCGTGTTTGATAGCCATGTTGGGTAGTTTACCTCTCGAATGGATGTAGCCTCCAGAAGTTTATCCACTTCCTCTTCTACTGCCTCAACATGCATCAACGTAGGCCTCCTTGCTCGCTGGATGACGAGTTTGTCCAACCTGTCCACATTCAGTCTATGGCAAGTGACCTTGGGGTCAATGCCAAACATCTCGTATGGTGTCCAGGAAAACATCTCAAGGTTTGCTCTTAAGAACACCTCTAATTCCTTTTCCTCTTCTTCGGCCAAGCCTAAGCCGAGAAGGAAGAATCGCTCTCCATCCCCTTGCTGGACTAAAATCTTCTTCAGGGCCTCTTCACTTTTCTCAGCTGGTTCTTTGCCGACATCCTTAAGGACCTTTATGTCCTCATCCTCAATCTCTACTGTTTCTGCTTCTCATACGTTGCATGTGGATTTCATTGCTGCCATGGGACAATTCTTTACCTGCACTTGATCTCCTTTGACCTCCTCAATTCCATGTTCTGTTGGGAACCGCAATAGCTGGTGCAATGTTGAGGAAACAGGCCCCATTGCATGCAGCCATGGCCTTCCTAGGATAACATTGTAAGGAGAAGGGGTGTCAATTATTGTGAACTCCGTTTTTACCTTCTTGGTGCCAGCCTGCACCTCCAAACTTACTGCTCCCAGGGGCCACGTCGGCATTCCGTTGAACCCAACCATTGGACCATTGGATTGTTCCAGATCATCTTGGTGAAGGCCAAGCTCCTTGTAACACCTGACATACATGGTGACACAAGAGCTGCCCTGTTCAATTAGAATTCGTTTTACCTGGCACTCAAATCTGGAGGGATATTACCAAGGCATCGTTGTGTGGATGCTGCATCATCTTTAGGTCGTCTTCAATAAAGGACACCATTGGTCCCTGGCACTCGTCTGCCCTAGGTTTCTTCTGTCGGACTTGATACACATGTTGCAAGTGTTTTACCTTATGAGTTCCCCTTGTATGTCGTTCTGATTGACTTTCGAGTGAATTACATTGATCGCTTGAGGTCCGCCTACTTGCGGTTGTGGTTGCGGTGCTGGTGGAGGTGGTGCTGCCGGTGCTTGAGGCAGTCTCGCTTGCTCTTCCCTTGTCCTGGCCTCATCTACCAGGTCCCTTAAATGTCCCTGTCTTACCAGGTCTTCCAGATGTGCCTTTAGGGCTCTGCACCTTTGAGTTAGATGCCCATCTTTAATGCTACCCCAGACTTCTTCCCATAAATTCACCAGGAATCTTCTATGGTGCTCTATAATAGGGCTGATTCCAGATTCTTTCCAAGACTTTGTAAACTGGAAT